GCAGTGCCGGTTGGACCTGAATGCGGATATTAGAAGCTCAGTTTTGGGGACCCAAAACCCGCGAACCTTGGCGGCGTGGATGCAGGAGGCAGAGAGCGCTGAGAGCCGCTTGCGCACTATGCGGCTGGATAACGCAGTAGCAGCCGGGAGAACAGCACCAGCACCCCCCACCCCAAGGCAAAAGCCGCCCCCCTGTTGCCATTGGTCAGGGAGCAGCAGATGAAACAGGGGCTGTGCTGGGACCTACTGACTCTTGCTGAATTCTGTTATAACAATGCCTACCACGCCTCCACAGGGATGTCACCATTCAAAGCTGCTTTTGGTTATGACAGTCCCCCAATCCTTTCTGACTTCAACCCAGGAGGGGGAAGGCGTCAGAGTAGAGTTCTACACTGAGGGAGGCGTGGCCTAAGATTTGCGAGGCTTTAGACATGGCTAAAGCCTCATACAAACATCAGGCTGACAAGAAATGGGTGGAGGGTTGGGTTCTGCAGCTTGGGGACTCTCTTTATGTGTCTACAAAAAATCTACGTCTTTCTCAGTCTTGTCGAAAGTTGGTGTTGAAGTACATTGGGCCATTTAGAATTGTAAGGTTGATTATTGATGTCACGGTTGAATTGGACTTGCCCAAGAACTTAAAGAATGTCCATCCAATTTTCCATTTCAGCTTATTGAAGTCCTGTCCAGCGTCTAATCCGTGGCGCCCTGAACCAGCTGTGCCCCCCCCCATCTTGGTGGAGGGGGTGGAACACTATGAAATATCCGACATTCTGGACTCTAAAGTAAAACGTGGACAATTGTTTTACCTGGTGGAATGGGTACATTGGGGTCCTCAGCATCGGGAGTGGGTGGTGGGTAAAGATGTGCGGGCCCCTAAACACCTTCGGAAGTTCCACGCCCGATTCCTGGAGAAACCAGGAGGTCACCTGTCTGCTGTGGGAGGTGCTTGATGTGGTTTTGAGGGGGCAGGATGTCAGCTAGCTGCCATGTTTTGCTTGTTCCCGTCTCTAATCCTGGCTTGCTTGCTGCTCTGCCGCTTGCTGTAAACAATGCTTGGGAGATCGTGGGAGCCAGTTCTGCCAGACGGCGTTATCTGTCTGGCCTTGTGAAGGAGGGAGGGCTTGCGTTCCACCCCTGGTGTGAATCTTTCGGCTCTCATGAGGCACTGCGACTCTCCCAATTATCATGCATCCCCCACCGGGAGAATTCCCACACACGCGCGCTAAATTTTTTTTCATTTGCTTAGCCATTTGCCTTGTCCTACTATATGAAAGGATGTTTCCGCCCCATGGTCATTCCTAACAATAATCCTGTGGATACGGTACCAGTTTTGTAACCTAATAAAGCATAACGCTTCCTTGGAAATGTGTGTGGAGATTTACTGGCTGCAGAACCTGACACCCAGGGGAAAACAAAGAGACAGGTAAGATATGTCGAGAAACCTTCCTTGTTTAGCCGTTTCTTGGCCTTTTAAACTTCGGTTCAGGCTTCTGGGCCTAGTTAAGCCGCTGAAGGCTCTTCTCTCTGGGAAGTTAATGTCACCCGGAGTTGCAGCCTCCAGAGAGTGGTAAGGGGTGAGATGAGTCAGACATGGGTGCAAGAGAAATTGTGGGCCTGGGATTGTCAAGGCCAGAGGTCCAAGAGAGTTTTGTGCTCACGTTCCATGGAACCCTGGCTGTGGGGTGTCATGTCCTAGTAATGCACTTGATTGGCCAGCTGCAGGCAGTCTGGCATAAAGCAAGACCATTCATTCTTGTTTGGTGTTAATCTCCTTCCTTTTGACTGTAGGTTGGGCCTTGCGTGGCCAGAACACCTGCTTTTGGACTTTGGAGTTCTATTTGGATTTTGTCTCTTCAGTCTGGCCAGGTTACCTCTGGATCTCAAAGGACTAAATCCTGAGTAAGCATTCTAGGTTAGCTAGTTTCATTATCTTCTTCCCTGTTTTGTATTGCTTCTATATTTGTATACTTCAGCACATTTATTTTAACACACCTTATTATTTATACTCCTATGGTGTTTGGATTTGGGGGATTCAATCCACCTTGCAGGGCTGGCCTTGATTAACACCTAGTAGGGCTGGAGACTTGGTCCCTCAGCTGAGAGTTAGCTTAGAGGGGCTGGTGGTGGCTCATTACCCTGGGAAGTGAGGATTCACTCCCCAGTTTTATGCATTTTGCTCTTGACCGTCACCCCAAAGCCTTCTTGTGGGACAAGGGGGCTTTGACAACATACAAATATATCTGTTACTTGGCTTCAAGTTTACCCACTCTTTTTCTAGCACTGCAGCCCCACTGTAGACCTCTCTCACACACACCTTGTGCACCTCATGGCTTTCTCAGGCTGAACACCATCCCTGGAAATCCAATCACAGTTACGTACGGTTTCACTTTTATACATCTGCCTTTTGCATGCTTATTGCAGTGAGAAAGGGACAGGCTCTGTGAACCCACAGAGGCAGGGAGGCACTCCTCACGGAAGGATTTTGCAGGGCAGTCGTGTCTTGTCTGCTTAGGCAACAGTATCCCATTCGGGTAGCCCAGAGAGCATGGAGAAGCAAGACCTCGAGCATCAAGAAGCTGCCAGAGCTCAAAGCCAGTGCCTAGACCAGCGACAGATTCAAAAGGTAATGCAAAGCCTTTCACCGGCCAGCAAAGTGGCTTTGAGCCAGCACTGCCTCTTTCCAACACCCACGTGGTTTTCTTAGAGCAGGTAGGTTTGGGCCTGGCTTCCAGCTAACCCTAAGGAAATGGCCAGTGTGCAACTGAACAGGGCCACTTGGACAGCCTGAGAGGTGCCAGTGACTGAAGCGCACCTCCATCCCAAAGGCCAACCATAGCAATGAAACAAACGAGTCTCCACTATACAGAGGCTTAGATGTGCAACCAGGAAGATGTTCTTATGGCTCCCTTTGTAGCCTTGGATACTCCTGAAACACAAACAACTTATGCGTCCTCAGAAGTGAACTGGAAGCCAGAACAGGTGACTTGTAAACAAATTAAGTCAGCCCATCAATAACTAAGTAGCAGCATTTTGCACCAGTTGAGGTTTCAAGACCATCTTCAAGGGCAGCTCCAGAAAGAACACAATACAGCAGCCTAGTCTTGAAGTTACTGAACCAGGAATGGCACAGTGATGAGATTCCTAGCAGCTAATAGCACCTTGGACCAGTTTGTGTCAGAGTTCTCTCAGCCCCACCCACCTCACAGGGTGTCTGTTGTGGGGAGGGAAAGGGAAAGGAGTTTGTAAGCCGCTCTGAGACTCCAAGTGAAGGGCGGGGTATAAATCCAATCTCTTCTTCTTCCAGTGTGAGCTAGCTCAGTTTTTTAGCCTCCGGCTTACCCATTTTTGTCTCAGCTCAGGAAGGAGGGCTCCAGAGCAAACTAATTTATGCAGCAGCTGAATCGCTCGCTAACAGCTTTAATGCCAGGAGCTCACAAAGTCGAATTTTTGCACACAAGACTCTGCAGGTTTGAGGGAGCATTGTCTTGTACTACAGCTACTACATGGCAGTACAAAAGCAATGTCAGGGTCAGAACTACCCCAAAGTTGCGTAACATCTGAGGGGGGGGGGAGCCCCAGCAGAACAGGCATTTTACAAAACCTCATTTGTCCCAGCTAGTTTGAGTTTTGGTTTATACACCCTCCTCCAGTCCATTTCCTGCCCTACAAACATATGTTCAGTTCAAGAATGCCACTACTTCACCTGGTTAGTTAAAAACTGAAAGTACTATGAGGAATCACCAAACTGATACCAAGCCCATTTCCCCCCAAGGCCCTTCTCTCTGTGAGCCCCCACCTTCAGATGCATAGTTACTAACTACCAGGGACTGGACTTCCTCAGTGATGGCCTCTCAGTTATGATCCTCCTAAACAGCCATCTGCCTGGCCCCGTTTAATTAGCTTCAGGTATCAAGTCGAAATGTTTTTGTTCAGCCGAGCATTTTGTTGAACTGTCTGCAGTTGTTTCTGTCCCCTCCACCCCACCACTGTTTCACCTGTGGTATCTGTCTATCTTTGACTGGATAAATCTTAGCTACATTACTGCTTTCAGTGGGCACTGGGGGCGGAACTGACCACTGTAGATCCCCACAGGGTAATCCGGATGGGGTATGGTTCCCCAGGACCACCCCGTGAAACTCCCCCTTCAGGAAGAAGCAGAATTATCCAACAGATATTAAAAAATGTTCCTTCCGCTTGAACACAAGGGCAATATGTGCAAAGTGGTTTTGCAGGAAGAACCCCCCATGCCCTATATAACTCCCCCTACACAGTACAGCTCTCAGCAGTCCCATTACAGCAAATAAACAAGGACTAGTTTGAATTTTTCCCAAGAACTTTTCACAGCTGCTTGGAAAAGGCTCCTCTACAACCTGGGCTCCGCTTGGTGCAATCCATCCAAAAGCCAGTGGATGGGTGACACTGCAGATTAGAGGGCCCGTGAAGTTGGAGACAGGCAAGTTCTTGTGTCTGCAGCATAGGGCTGATTTAAATACACCAGGACCAGTGTCAAGAAATAAGACCTAGCTGAGGATAATGTTGGTACTCTCTCTCCTCCTGAGCAGTGAGCCAACGGTTAGGCTTCCAATCCACAGAGAAGAGCACACACCACGGCCAGCCTTACAAAGAGAATCAAATATTTAATAATTGCTTCTGGAGGGAGAGCAGGCCACACACATTTATAGCAGGTATCAAACAAAGGAAGAGCAAAATAATAATAATAACAATAATAATAAAAAGGAAGCCATTGGCATCCGAATAGGGCACAAGGGGTCCACCAAAGATCAGATCCCGCGGATCCGCAGCGGCTGACCTTAAACCAAAAGCCTGATCAGGGGTCGTTCCTCACATCGAACAATGACATGGTTAGTGGTGTCCTGCCCCAGAAGTTAGAGATGACAGCTTTATTAAATAACAGTTATTCTATGCAAATCAACACCTAAATATTGAATAATAAAAAAGTTCCATCTGTCTTCAGAGTGCACATCTTTGATGGTTTCCCATAAAAGTATCATCATTGCTGTAAGTGGGGAAAGAGGAGGAAGGAGACAAAGTTAGTTGGCACTTCTGCGGTTTTTCGAAGGCATTTGAAATCCAAAGCTTCCAGCCCTTTCCCTGGAACTCAAAACTACAAGTGCTTTCACACATACTAAATAATGCACTTTCAATCCACTTTCAATGCACTTTGCAACTGGATTTTGCTGTGTGAAATGGCAAAATCCACTTGCAAACGGTCACTGAAGTAGATTGAAACTGCATCATTTAGCATGTTGCATCTCCTGATCATTTTTCCATGGGAAGGAGAGTCATGTGGTCAAGGCTCTAGGGTTTGAAGTCACTCCAGGTTCAACTGAGTCAAGTAATTTGCTGAAGGGTGTCCTCATGATAAATGTTAACAGCAGCGGCATGTGCTTTCAGGTGAAAGCAAAGAGATCAGTGAGGATAGCCTAGGACTTAATGTAGTCAGCAGCAACTAGCCACATGCAGTTATTGGTTCAGCTCTTCATGCTCCTTAGATTTTGCAGAAATGTGTTCCTTTTCAAAGCGCTTAGCATGCAACCACAGTCATCTTTACAACAGCCTTGTAAGGAAGGCTGGTATTGTCACCTCCATCGAGACAGTGGCTTGCCTAAGGACCCCACAGTGATGTCACAACAAGAAGCAGAGAGGGGCAAACAAGCTAAGATGTTTATTGTGCTGTGTTTAGGTCATAATGTGATATCCAGACCACACCTCAAACTTTCTTCAATCAAGTCTTGTAGACAGCTGCAGAATTTGAGATCCAGAACAGTTTCTAAGAGCATGAAGCAAGCATGCCAATTCCAGAAATGGCTGATATCAGGAAAAAGTTTGGGGATCATTCAAAGAATGCGGACACTTGAGAGAAAAGTGAATGGCAGGAACAGTTCCAGAAGGGAGAGAGGGTCCCCACCTTGGGACCCAAGTCCAATCCTAAGCCAAACTTTGGTTGGTATTGAACTTCCTATCCAAACTGGCTTGGGAAATAATTCTTTTCCTTTTCCAAAGATGACAACCAGTTAAAAGCACAATCAAGACTACAAATCCACCTGCTCAAAAGATTTCCATGTTTTGGGCAGAGAAACATCCCAGCCAATGTCCTGATCTCCAGTGCCCAAGGAAAGGACTGGGGGCAGGGAGCTTCAGCTACAGCACCAAGTTGAAGAAGGTTTACTTAGCTGTCTCTGCTCTGATGGCTATTTGATAATGGCTATTCCAGAATTCTAGTCCAGACTAGATCACTCCCCCTACCAGCTCCTCTTCCCCCAACACGCCCACTCACCTTGGCCTTGTTCTGGACAGGGATGTACAGCTTGAACTCCGCAGGAAGCTCATCCTCCGAGTACAGCCTGTCTGAGAAGTAAATTCTGCGGATGCGACAGTTAGCGTGGATCTGAAAAGTTGACCAAGGTAAGAGAGGCGGCTGCAGCAGCCCCACACACCCCCTTTCAAAAGAGCCTGGACTTTTGCTAGGCTGCAAGGCAAACTGCAATATTCTCGTGCCATGTCTTTAGGAGGAGGAGCAGAAGAAAAAGCCTTAACTGCATCGTCTGAGACGATGTGGGCCGCAGTTCGGTTAACGTAAGCAGCGATTCAGCCAAGGTAGCCGAAGAGAGGCCAGGAAAAGGTCTCCCCTGTTCAACACTCATTTCAATTAAGAACCAAAAGGTTAAGGAAATCCGAATATAAGGGCCCAATAGTTCTGTGTATAAATCTGAAGCATAAATATTACCAAATGTACAAAAATATACATGTATTTATTCAAATTCATTACTGTTAAACACTAAATTCAGTCTACTACATGACTATTGGCTCCAGACTACATTTAAACCAATTTTTTTACCAGTAGAGAAAAGTACAAAATTGAACCATTATTCATGGGAAGTGATCTGACCATGGCAGCAAGCTATCTAGAAGGATGCCTCTGATTTATATATCTGCCTTAGGTCACAGATAATGATTATAAAACAATCTCACCTTGGTCTAAGCTTAAGAAATGACTGTATTATTGTAATACCTGGAGCCACCCTGTAACGATATTGTTCGACCACTGAGGAAGGCCAATTGGCTGAAACGCATTTGGTCAGGGTCAATAAGATTAACGCGTAACTTTATTCTGAATGGAGGCTGTTGCTTGGGCCTATATTTGTTTTTATTGAATTCAAATAAAGACATGTATATTTTTGTATATTTGGTCATACTTAGGCTTCAAGTTTCTACACAACACTAATTCCAACACAGCAGGCAAAGAGCCTGCCCCCAGCTCACAGAGATCAGAGCGGCAGAGGATCCCACCCAAGCCTTCACCAGCTCATTTTTTACTGCACCTGGGACCGTCGGCCTGCCAGACAGGTACTCCACTGCACTGGAAGCCCTTCCTCAACCCATCCTGGCAAGGTCTTTGGCCTTGCTGAGGCCAAGAGAAGAATGCTTCCTTTGCTTTGCAAGCTGACCTCAGAATCCTGCCGATGCACCAGGTAATTTTTAGCTGATCCAGCATCTGCCTTTTGAAAACTGAATTTCAATAATGTGCATATTGGCAAAACCTCAGTGCGACCCAGAAGGAAATGTAATGGCACGTATCCAAACATGCAGCTTTCCTGAGGAATGACATTTCTGCATGTGGAAGAAGGAGTGGTGATTTCTGCTGGTTCTCCCCTCCCACTGCAGACTCCCATGTTACCCCCTATGCTGTTCCTGAGTGTCTGCTGGCCACAAGACGCGGAGAATATACAAGAGATATATCTTAGACAAATTATGGGAGCTCCCAAATGTGTATCTTATTTCACAATTTGTCTTGAAGCTGGCCAAAATTTAATTGGGACTTCTTATTAGCTAGGGTAAATACATTCCCTTCCAGGATGCTTTCTGGTAGATATCTCCAGATTCCGAATAATGTCACTGAGGTCTTAATTCCTTAGACACAATTGATGACATCATTTTGGATTGATCTTTTTATGAGTGCCCTAGGAAAAGGTTGCTTTCTAAACCGATGCATTCTAAAAGCCATTTGAAAAACTACTGTAAATGTCAGTTCCTTTTGAATGATTTGACTCCTGAAATTATTGTTGTAGTTACTAAATTTCTAGTGGAAGTCCTTAAAGTTAAAGAAGATTCTATATAGTGTTGTTTCTGGTCCCCCCCACCCCCAATTATGAAATTCTTGTATGAAGTTTGACATTTGATGGATTTTGTATTCTGTATTTTATTGATTGGATTATTATTTGAGATTGCTGATATGCCAATAAAGGTATATGAATACAAATATGAACAACACGTTGGAGGGATTCTGTGGGCTGACAAGAGGGGCAAACAGGTATATCCTTCTCTACAAACTCTACAAATGTCTGGATGCAGGCCAATACAATTTTCAATTTAGTAGTCAAAATCTATCACCAGTTATCAGACAGAAGATCTCGCCCTAATATTCTTATCACCCTCTAATATTTTTACAAATCACACACCACACACAAAATAGCTTTAAGTAGATCCTTCACTGGCAATTCTCCCATCGATCAAGTGAAGCCTTAGTAGTTTAATTTGCCGATTAATGCTTGCTGGTTACTGTAAGAATATGAGGGTCCTGCTACCAGTGGTCCATCTAGTCCAGCATCCACGTCTCACAAGATGGCCAACCAGTTACTATGGGTGGCCAACAATACAGCCTAGATGCCAAGACCTTTTTCTGATGTTGCCTCCTGGCACTGGTATTCAGAGGTTGACTGCCTCTGAATGTGGAGGTTTCCTTTAGTAACCTGGCTAGTAGCCACTGACAGGCCTATCTTTCATGGATCTGTCTAATATCCCTTTGAAAATCTATGTCTGTGGCCATCACTATATCACCGGCAGTGAAACTCCACAGTTTAACTACTCATTGAGTAAATAAGCATATTTAAGTTCCCTGCAGTCAGCCCATCTCCCCAAAATCATTTGGAACCCGGACTCTGTCATGGCCCTTCCCTGCAGCCATATGAGCCAATGACTCTAAAACAGCCTGGAAAAGGCTTCTGAGATTGAAGCCCCTCACCTGCACTCTCAGGGTCTCAATATAGTTGGTGCCGTACGCTCGACGAGTGAAGTCGGACAGGTTGAACTGAATCTGGTTCCAGCCGTCATCCAGCCGCATGGGCATGGTGCAGATGAAGGGCTTGACGCGGGTTGTGCTCTGGTAGTTGCTGGCACGGAATCGGCGGCGGACGTTTTTATCATCCAGGACCTAGAGAAGAAAAACACCCCGTCCTGAAGAGAAGCCCAGATGTGAGGCTGCCCAAGGCAGAGACCCGACTCATCCAGGACATCACTGAGCACAGCCCAGAAATGGGGTGGCCGGTTCTGTTCAACTACCCTCATAGACCGAATAGCCAAGTAAGGCCCCTGTGAGGCTTAAAAAAAAATCTGGGGTGGGGTGGGGGTCACACAGGCTAATGCAGACAATGCAGACCTAGGGAAAACCTGATAAAATACATTAAAAACAAACCAGTGCATTAAAACCTCCTCAAAAGTTAAGAGTGACATCTGTGCATGTGCAGGTAGTGCAAAAAAATAAAAGTGACAACAAGGGTGACAAATGATGCCTGTCAATAAGTGGGGATAGAGTGAGGCTGGAGACAGAGGAACAGAAGGGAGACAGACCACAGGGGCTGGGCGGGTGGAGAAAAATAAAGCTAAGAGGGGTGGGAAAACAGCACCTGACAAGAGAGAGGAGTGGGAAATGTTATAAGTTGGGGATAGAACAGAAGATGGGGGACAGACTGCGGGGGCTGCAAGGAGATAGGGAAGGAGAGCCGGGAGAGAGAAAAAAATGAAATCCAGTGAAGAAAGAGCTTATGGGGAAAATAAGTGGAACAGGACTGGGAGGTGGGGAAGAACAAAGTGGAAACTAAGGCAATGGCGGTTAAAGCGCTTGGGGCTCTTTAGCTTGGAGAAACGACGACTGAGGGGTGACATGAGTATGCATGGGATAGAGGAGGTAGAGAAAGAAGTACTTTTCTCCCTTTCTCACAAGACAAGAACTCGTGGGCACTCAATGAAATTGCTGAGCAGTTGGGTTAGAACGGATAAAAGTCCTTCTTCACCCAAAGTGTGATTAACACACGGAGTTCACTGCCACAGGAGGTGGTGGCGGCTACAAGCATGGACGGCTTCAAGAGGGAATCGGTATAGCCCAGTATTGGAAGAACAAAAATCAACCTACTCTCCAATGTTGGCAAAACAAACTTTGGGAGCACTTTATATATGGTAAAATTGTCTCTCACCAAAAAAGTTTTCAAGCAACTTGGTTCCCAGTGGTGAACTATCTAGCAGAAGAAGAAGTGATTCCAAACAACTCTTATTACAAAGATCTGTTATATTTTTAAAAGGGCTCTTAAGGGTTGAGAAAGTTGATTATTGCATAGCGTCAAAATATGTTATGAATGTACTGTGGTATATATTGTTCAAAATAAAAAACACTTATTGGGGAAAAAAAGAGGGAATCAATTAAACATATGGAGCAGAGGTCCATCAGTGGCTCTTAGCCACAAGGTATAGATAGGAACTCTCAGGCTGGGGCAAGTGACGCTCTGTATTCTTGGTGCTGGGTGGGTGGGCAACAGTGGGAGGGCTCCTAGTGTCCTGGCCCCACTGCTGGACCTCCTGATGGCACCTGGTATTTTTGGCCACTGTGTGACAGAGTGTTGGACTGGATGGGACATTGGCCTGATCCAGCATTGGCTTCTCTTATGTTCTTAAGCGGGAGCCAGAGAGGGGGTAGGGGATGGGAGGACACAGTGCAGAGAGGAGGCCAGGGGAAGGAGCAGCAGGATGTCCACTCTCTTCCCCATGAGTCCCCTTCTTGTAAATTATATAGTAGTTCATATCCTGCCCAGCAAAGGCCTCTGCCCCCCAAAAGAAGTCCTAACTGCGCCGGCTGGCATGAAGTCAAAGACTGGAAGAGTGGTTTGGGCCTTCAGAAGCATGCTCGTCAGCCTACAGACTCACTGGGCAGCTCTTCGCAAGTGACCCTCTGTAAATGAAGAACGACTACTCTCCTCTTGTGGTGGGACTGGAAGACCGAGCACTTTGGGACCACCCCCCCCCCCCCCAACACACGTGCCGTTTTCGCCTGGGCTTGCCACCACCGCTCACTTACTTGTACTTCAAAGGTGAAGTATTTTTTCAGATTCTTGATTATCATCACCAGAAAGGGCAATTTGATACCCAGTGTCTTCTTTGGGTCAGCAGGACACGTAATATACGTGGTACTGGGAGAAAGAGAGAGGAGAGAAAGACTGCATGTTAAAATCTATTTACCAGCAGCTGCAGTTCTCATGCGGTGTGGGGGGGACGGAAGGACCAGAAGCAGCCTTTCCCTCAACACCACACGTTGCAAAACCAAAGGGCAGACCCAACTCCATTGAGACCCATGTTTGGGTCTTCACACATTTGAACATTCAGTAAGTTTGCTCAGTTTGGGCAGGTCAGCTTTCCTCTCCTCCAAGGATCCCCGAAGGCCGCGCTTTGACTCCCCTTCATTTTCTAAACCTTTAGGAACTATACTAAAAAACAATGTCCCAGTTTCTAGGATTCTGCAAGAGCTGACACAGGCCCATTGATTGAGATACCTGTTTTCCCCTTAAAGCCACCTTGGATTACAAGTACTATTCAAGATTTTGAAGGGTGCTGTGTTCTCATATACCATAATCTGGACTCTGCTGTTGAAGGGCTTGGTAAGGGCCTGTGCAGTTTCATGGGAAAAGGTGAAGGGGTATTTGGAGAGGGGGAGGAGCAGAACAGGGGAGGAGAAATAGAGTTCTGGATGGTGAAGGAAAAGCAACCTCTTCTTCTTGACTGCATAGTACTCAGATGTCTATGAGCCTCAGTGCTCAGGAAAACGGAGCCACCCTGCAGCATAAAGAGACGCACACATTAGCCGTCTCCTACAAGAGCACTGAACCTGCTGTGCTCTGAGCCCTGTGAGCTTGGAAGAGAACACCTGAGATGAAGAAACAGAGTAAGATATATGCCTGCCTCTGTCCCTTTCCCCCCTTCCCCACTCAACATCCCATCCCCATTCTAAAACTCCAGTAATGAGAAATACTTGGGAAAGACATTTTAACCTGGGGAAAGAAAAGGAACAAATATTTTATTTATTTATTTCAAACATTTCTATGCCATCTTTCCAACCAAACGGAGTCCCCGGGGTGGCAAACATCAAACCATTCATCATTTCAACATCAAAACAGCATTTAAAACAAAGCATATATAAAATAACTCAATAAAAACATATAAACACGCAAACAACCCCAAAGCAGGGAGGAGGGCCAATAAATTACTGGGGATACACCAGACAGAACACAAAAGTCTTTACTGGCTGGCAGAAGACAACAAGAGAGAAAGACGGGCAAATCTCCCCAGAGAGTTCCAAAGTTTCAGTGCCACAACTGGAAAGGCCCTTGCTTGGGTTGCCACTATTCAAAATATCTTTTGAAGAATTTGTTTTTAAAAGACTAATGAATTTATTGCAATTATTTCAGGATTTCCAAATCCATTATGTGGAATCAGTTAGGAATTAAAGGGAATATAAGGATCACTGCCTTGTCGTGGTGAGGGGGCTTGAGCGGTTCGATGAAGCTGTGGGCTGTGCCGTGAAGGGCCACCCAAGACGGACAGGCCACAGCAGAGAACTCAGACCAAGAGTGATCCACTGGAGAAGGAAATGGCAACCCACTCCAGTATCTTCGCCAAGAAAACCCCATGGACAGTAACAAAAGGCTAAAAGATATGACGCCGGAAGATGAGCCCCTCAGGTCGGAAGGTGTCCAATATGCTACTGAGGAAGAGCAGAGGGCAAGTACAAGTAACCCCAGAAAGAGTGAAGCGGCTGGGCCAAAGCCGAAAGGACCCTCAGTTGTGGATGTGTCTGATGGTGAAAGGAAAGTCCAATGCTGCAAAGAACAATACTACATAGGAACCTGGAATGTAAGATCTATGAATCAAGGTAAGCCTGACGTGGTCAAAAATGAGATGGCAAGACTGAACATCGATATCCTAGGAATCAGTGAACTAAAGTGGACAGGAATGGGCGAATTTAACTCAGAAGACCATTATATCTACTACTGTGGCCAGGAATCTCGTAGAAAAAATGGTGTGGCCTTTATAGTCAACAAGAGAGTGCAAAAGGCAGTACTGGGATACAATCTCAAAAATGACAGAATGATTTCTGTCCGATTCCAAGGCAAACCATTCAACATCACAGTAATCCAAGTCTATGCCCCAACCACTGATGCAGAAGAGGCTGAAGTAGACCGGTTCTATGAAGACCTACAACACCTCCTAGAACTAACACCAAAAAATGATGTCCTCATCATCATAGGGGACTGGAATGCTAAAGTAGGAAGTGAAAAGGTAACTGGAATAACAGACAAGTTTGGCCTTGGAAAGCAAAATGAAGCAGGGCAAAGGTTAACAGAGTTTTGTCAAGAGAACACACTGGTCATAGCGAACACCCTTTTCCAACAACCTAAGAGGCGACTCTACACATGGACATCACCAGATGGGCAACACCGAAATCAGATTGACTATATAATTTGCAGTCAAAGATGGAGAAGCTCTATCCAGTCAGTAAAAACAAGACCTGGAGCTGACTGTGGTTCAGATCATGAGCTACTCATTGCAAAATTCAGACTTAAACTGAAGAAAATCGGGAAAACCATGAGGCCATTCAGGTTTGACCTAGATCACATCCCTGATGAATATACAGTAGAGGTGAAGAATAGATTCAAGGGTCTGGATTTGATAGATAGAGTGCCTGAAGAACTATGGACAGAGGTTCGTGACATCGTACAGGAGGCAGCAATCACCACCATACCAAAGAAAAAGAAATGCAAGAAAGCAAAATGGCTTTCTGATGAGGCTTTACAAATAGCAGAGGAAAGAAGGAAAGCGAAAGGCAAAGGCGAAAAGGAAAGATTTACCCAACTGAACGCAGATTTCCAGAGAACAGCAAGGAGAGATAAGGAGGCCTTCCTGAATGAACAGTGCAAAGTAATAGAAGAAAACAATAGAATGGGAAGGACTAGAGATCTCTTCAAGAAAATTGGAGAAATCAAGGGAGCGTTCCATGCAAAGCTGGCCATGATAAAGGACAAAAACGGTAGGGACCTAACAGAAGCAGAAGAGATTAGGAAAAGATGGCAAGAATACACAGAAGAACTATACAAGAAAGACCTCAATGTCCTTGACAAACACGACGGTATAATCACTGACCTTGAGCCAGACATCCTGGAATGTGAAGTTAAATGGGCCTTAGAAAGCATTGCTAACAACAAAGCTAGTGGAGGTGATGGTATTCCAGCTGAGCTATTCAAAGTCTTAGAAGATGATGCTGTTAAAGTGCTGCACTCCATTTGCCAGCAAATTTGGAAAACGCAACAGTGGCCACAGGATTGGAAAAGATCAGTATACATTCCAATCCCAAAGAAGGGCAACGCCAAGGAATGTTCAAACTATCGCACAATTGCACTCATATCACACGCTAGCAAGGTCATGCTCAAGATCCTACAAGCTAGGCTTCAACAGTACGTGGATAGAGAACTACCAGAAGTACAAGCTGGGTTTCGAAGAGGTAGAGGAACGAGAGATCATATTGCCAACATTCGCTGGATTATCTTTCCCAGCATCAGGGTTTTCTCCAGTGAGTGCAAACATGTCTTTCAAATGCCGGGAAAGATGCCTGGCTTTAAAGTTTGATGCGAACGTATCAAGCAAGCTAGTACTGTGAAAGGGTCATTATGGCTCCTGATTCTGCCACTTTCTCCAGATACTTGGTGACATATCTCTGCAGGTCTGCTATTGGTTCACTGACTTCAGCCTTTGAGAAGTTCCTGGTGGTGATGCACTGTGCTAAAACTGATGCTGCTTTTGGAAGAGCAGTTCTTCAGAGCCTGTTTCTTCAAGACGACCTGCAGATAACATCAGGTACATGGCTCCCTAGTCATCAAATCACCGCAGACTGTGACTGCAGCCATGAAATTAAAAGACGCCTGCTCCTTGGGAGGAAAGCGATGGGGAACCTAAACAGCATGATAAAAAGTAGAGACATCACCCTGCCAACAAAAATACGCATGGTCCAAGCAATGGTATTCCCAGTAGTCATGTATGGCTGCGAGAGTTGGACTATAAGGAAGGCCGAGCGCCGAAGAATAGATTCTTTTGAACTATGGTGCTGGAGAAGACTCTTGAGAGTCCCTTGGACTGCAAGAAGATCAAATCAGTCAATCCTAAAAGAAATCAACCCTGACTGTTCCCTGGAAGGCCAAATAATGAAACTGAAGCTCAAATACTTTGGCCACCAAATGAGAAGGGAGCACTCACTGGAGAAGACCCTGATGCTGGGAAAGATTGAAGGTCAAAGAAGACGGGGACGGTAAAGGATGAGATGGTTGGACAGTATCATCGACGCAACGAACATAAAATTGAGCCAACTTCAGAGGACAGCGGAAGACAGGAGGGCCTGGCGGGAGCTGGTCCATGGGGTTGCGAAGAGTCGGACTCGACTGTGCGACTGAACAACAACAAGGAAGAGACACCAGAATTAGCGAGTACCACAGATATTAGTGGTGACTGGATATCATTATCACCTACTCTTTTCCTACAGCCATTCTGCACCTAGAGCTCCATATTTTGTTGTTGTTGTTCAGTTGCACAGTAGAGTCTGAGTCTTCATGACCCCATGGACCACATCACGCTGGGCCCTCCTGCCTTCCATCGTCCACTGGAGTTTGCTCAATTTCATGTTTGTTGCACCGATAACACTGTCTAACCATCTCATCCTTTGCTGTCCCCTTCTTCTTTGACCTTCAATCTTTCCCAGCATCAGTGTCTTCTCCAGTGAGTGCTCCCTTCTCATTTGGTGGCCAAAGTATCTGAGCTTCAGCTTCAGTAGCTGGCCTTCCAGGGAACAGTCAGGGTTGATTTCCTTTAGGACTGACTGATTCAATCTCCTTTATTTATTTATCTTTCAACTTTCTACCCTGCTCGAACCCCCAGGGGGTCTCTGAGCGGCTTACAGTTAATTGCTTATCCCTACCTATGGCCACAATTGCTGGGGATGGGGACTGCCCTACCGGCACCCTGTGGAGGTCTTTGTTGATCTTCTTCCTCCTGGTCGGCTTATCGGCTCGGCTTTTTCCGGCTTCCGGCTCTCACTTCCTCCTTCTCCTCGCGGTCTTCCGGTGGTGGATCAGCAGGCCCCTCTGGCGCG